GTGCAAATTGCAATTGTACGGCTTATCCTGGAAAGGATATCAATTCTAACCAACCTGTATACATTTGAAAGGAGAACGCGGAGAATTTTGTCGCAACGATTTCCTTGCAGTTGGCTTATACACATTGGATCGCGTGTTCGCCATTACCCTCTTTTACGTGTGTCTTGCGTTATGTGTTAAAACAACCACTACTAGAGGCCAAGGTCACCGCTCACGATCCTCCAAAAGTGCTTTACAGCGATTCTTCTACCGATTCATCGAGAAAATAAACATTCCTTCTTTTCGACGATATTTTCCCGTAAATTGTACGAGTTATTCGTAAAAAAATGTATGTATTTATAAAAATTAATGAAACTAGATTGAAAATAAATTGTATACTTATCTCTACGTTTTTCTTATAGATAAAGAGGAAAAAATAAAGTTAAATGATTGAACGGTATGAACACGTTTTTGACATCTACGCTTGATAGCGTTTGTTATTTACGCGAAATAGCTTCGACCTGAAATAAAACTTATTTAAATGAATTTTATATACGAAACACGCAAATGTTATTCCTACGAATTTATTAGCATGATTTTAGTGTGCGCAAACTGGTTGGTATATAGAAAAAATATTTTTCGTACTTTACTATATATTTATTAGATTTTATTGTTGTTTCGAAAATATTTAAATATTTCTATGTTCAAATTTATCAAGATTGTTCTCGAGTAAATTTATTTAATTTTCGTTAAACAAATTTTGAAGATATAAAATATATGAATTAGAATGAAATAATAGGCAAGAATATAAAATTTTATAATTCGTGTATAAATTTCAATGCACGTCGTCAATTTAATACTTAGATCATACGCTTTCAAAATATTTAAATATTTGAATATTCAAAAATTTTTTTGTTGAAATAAGATAGATATACAAAGCATGTGGTGCCAACTATCGTTGCAGACTGTAAGCTCGAAGTGAAATATAATATATATTTCGCATTTCAGAGTAGAAAGGGTCAATAATTTTATACCTCGCAAAAATTCTGGAAAATTTTTAAAATATTGTTCATAACTATATCTCCGCAATATATTAGTTTATAACATTTTTAAAAATGTTAATAATAAATTATATAATTTACCAATATTTATTATAAACATAGTTTTTTTAAATCTGAAATATATATAATTACAACCAAACTTATTCAACTAATTATGTACAGAAATTAATGTTTCCATATATATATATATACGGAGAAAACTGTTTATATCATAAATGCGTAAAAATGTTAAACAATTTAGAAAAATTACCGAAAGTTAAACAATAGAATATACGTAATATAAATTATTATATACATTAGAATACAATTTTTTATCGTAATATTTAATATCAATTTGTAGCAAAAATACACGAGGCTGATCGTACAAGTGTTACAAAACTTTCGACTATTAGAATACTTTGCAAGAAGCAACATGTAGTATTTAGATGTCAATTTGGACGATGGCCAAATATTTCCCGTTTAAAAACAGATATAGGTGATCGTACTTGTTTCTCCTTTGACCATCTTGGTGACAATGTAATTACCATTGGTCGATACGTGCTACGATCTGGCCGGAAATTTCGAAACCGTAACAAACTAGCGAACGGAAATTCTCGTTCACGAACCGACCATATCTCTTTAGCGATCGAGCTTTTCAATGAATTTCAAATTTATGAAATTAGACGAATTTGAAATTCGTTTCAACCTTTAGATACATAAAACAGATAAATCGGATAATTAAAAATTGATAAATCTACGAAAGTAATGAAATGAAAACGATAATATTAACAAAACTGTTAAATTGTTTGATAAAAATATTAAAAAAATTTTATAAAAGAATATAAATCTGTACATTTAAAATTATAATAATGAAGATAGCTGAATTAGTTCGAATCAGTTGGGTATTATAAAATAAGAAAATAAAGGAAGATAAAGGAAGATAAATCGTAAAAGCGAATACTCGATCGAGCGAAGGAATGCACGTCTGGTGGGTCGAGTTAGGAGATTATTAGGGATGGTGTGGAGGGTAGGAGATGGAATCAGAGAGGAAGCGCGAGGTTTGAGGGGATGTCGGTGCGTAAAAGGAGAATGCATAGGTTACTAGCAGCCGACGCCAGTATCGACCGGTCGCGCTACGCGTACATCTACACCCCTTGGCGTCTGGATGGTCGGGGACAATTCCTCTCCGATTATTCGATCCATCAGTTTACCATTTCCTCCGAGAAAACCGTTGGACGTTCGAGCTTTTCTTCGATCCATGTGCAAACAAAGCTTCAAGTTTGCGCGACAATCCGTTAATGCACTTTACACCGATTCACCTTAATCAACCGTATAATCGCGAGCTTACTCGTATTTTATCCCCTATTATATCTTTACGTTGCCCTTTTATCATGTAGATGAGCGATAAGATTGTGAAAATTTTTCAAGATTAAAACAATTTCGAGATTCGACCAGATATTATTAGCGCTAAAATTTAAGCGCTTGTTCGTTCGTTAAACTACCATTATTGATTACGATGAATGTAAATTGTTTCAATTTAGAAAATTTAAAGAGTTGTAAGAAGGAAAAAAAAATTATATATCGGAAAACTGTATTTTAAGCATGGAATGGAATAAACGAGTTTGAAACGATTCGGAACTACTAATTTCTACGCAATCGTTATGAAACGTGTATATCGCGAGAAGTTAGGACATTAGTGAAAATCAGATATGTACGTGCATCGTATCTCGCGTATGATAAATACGATCAAAATGTAAATGTAAATGAGCAATGTTTTAGGGGTAAGATGGAGGAGGAGGAAGTTGAGACAGAAAAAAAAAAGAGAAAAAGGAAATAAAAAGGCGAAGGACCACGAACCGTTGAGCTGTAATCTCTATGGATTATCGGGTTCAAAAGGCTTAATGCACAAAGGCCGCCCAAGACAGGTGGATGCGGTGAAGTTGGAAGGGTGTGTCTCGGAAAAAAAAGCGGATGAATAGCGGTGAAACGAAAGGAGTGCGCGATAACTGTTGATCTCTCGCCAACTCGCGCGTCCCTCGGACTGACCGACGGAAGAAACGAAATAAACGCGTGACATTATCCTTGAAAATAATAATAAGACTCGGTTATTTCGACGTTCGACATGATGTAGTCGTTGCCCTTTACTGCCAATCTCGATTCTTATCCAATTATTATCGTTTTATCTCGTCTCTCTAAATGCGACGTGCGTTTAAATTTTACTCTTCTCTCTTTCTCTCTCTCTCTCTCTCTCTCTCTCTCTCTCTCTCTCTCTCTCTCT